GCCGGCATACCACCTCAAGCGTCCAGACACGCCGACAACAAATCCTCCAAGCAAGACAAGAGCATCACCGGCTCGCCTGAAGCATGGCCAGCGCTGCCAACGATAGACCCACCGTTTGAGCCACCGCATCGCTCGTCTACAATCACTTCGGAACGAGAATGTGGTGATAGTCGCGACTAAGAAATCGTAGCCTTGGTAAAGGCCCTTATGAATGCCATTCGTATGCTCCTCACTAGCATTGACAGTCCGGCTGCAAAGAGTGCGCTACAGTTAGTGGATGCGCTGAAGCAGGTGCTATCAAGTCTGGAAAGGCACCATGGCTCCGCCTTAGCAAGCCTTTCGTAAAGAGGTCAAAGGGGCTTCGATATTTCAGTGGAATGCCCGAGGCCTCAAGCCCCGCATTTCTTATATCCGACAATTTGTGTTTAAAAACCAGTTTCCAATTATAGTTATCTGTGAGCCAAGGCTACACAATGCAATACGACTATCCAGGTACGAAGCCTTCAAGTCCGCTACCTGCAACGAACAGAGTAAAGTCATTGTATATATCAGATGCGACCTTACCTATATCGAGCACCGTGTAGCACCTCACGATGACAACCAGTATGTCTGCTTGACAGTTAAACGTAGAGACCTCAATTTCACGCTTGTATGTGCATATATATCACCTTCAAACCGTTTTGAGCCTGAAAGACTACGTGCACTGTTAACAGCCACACCTGGACCATGGATCATCACCGGAGATTTCAACGCTCACCACCCACTAAGGGGATGTCAGAAGACAAGACAATCGCGGAAGGCAAGTATTCTCCTTTGCTCTGGAGCAGCAGCTGCTTTGTGTAAACGACGGAAGCCCAACGTTTCTACAGGGAACGACATACAGCAGCTGCCTTGACTTGACATTTGTGTCACGAAGCCTAAATGGAAAGGTCAAGTGGTTCGCAGACTATGAAACTCATGGAAGCGGCCACATACCAACTTATTTGAAGATCAATGGCCTGGAAAAATCGCCAAACTACGACACTTCGACTCGCATCGACTGGACAAAGTTCAGGTCACTGACGGAAAAAAGTTGTCAAGAAAATAAAACGCCTCCACTTGACACCCTCGAGGATATGATTAGAGGTGCTACTCAAAAAGCGACCTATCATATTCAACATATTTCAGATTATTGTCAACATCAAGCGGAATTGGAACGGCTCAGAGCGATCCGTCGTCGCGCAGAAAGAAGATATAGGCGCACTAAGTCCAATCACGACTTGAGGGAGGCAAGGCGCCTACAGAAAAAAATTCTGCGGCGAATCATTTCACTTCAATACTTTCGCTGGAAATATCTGTGCGAATTTTTGGATCCACACAAGCCTTTGACGCAGACATAGAGGATTGTCCGTGGCCTACGAACATCGCCACATCAACATCGCCCCTTCAAGTGTCTTTCTCTCCCCCTAGGACGCACCGAAATTGAAGTAGCAGAAAACTTCTGCATGAAAGTTGCCGGTCATGCGTCCGCGTGCACCACGCGCCACCTAGAAAACGCTCCAATTTCCAGAGATTCAAGAATGGACACCTTTTTCTCTCTAGAGGAACTACAAGCGGCCTTGACGGCATGCAAACGATCTTCATCGTCTGGTCCGGATGGGATCACGTACATGGCTCTTTGCAACCTCGGAGAAGCAGCTCGACGGGCCCTTCTATCCGTGTACAACGACTCGTGTAGCAGCGGATTTACTCCTCATTCATGGAAATCCAGCCGCCTCGTCCCTATGCTTAAACCAGGTAAATCTCCTCTGCGGTTGACCTCTTATCGCCCCATCGCGCTTACCAGCTGTTCCGGGAAAGTGATGAAGAGGATGATTTTGACTCGCCTAGAGCACCACGAGGTATACCCTCATGCTATGATGGGCTTTCGGCGTGGGCGGTCCGCAATTGATAACGTTATAGACCTGGTCTCATCTGTTCAGCATCAAAAAAGACTGAAACGTTTATCTGCGGCGTTGTCCTTGGACGTGAACGGTGCATACGATAACGTATCACATGAAGCCATTCTGGATGTCATGGAAAATGTTGGATTAGGGGGCCGGGTTTACCTATGGATCCACAGCTATCTGAAAGGCAGAACTTTCTTTGTACAGACGGAAAATGGTACAACAACCCACCATTGCAACCGTCAAGGTGTGCCTCAAGGCGGTGTTCTTAGCCCCACACTTTTCAATCTAGCGCTACTCGGCCTGGTTGACGCACTTCCAGAATCTGTCCATCTATCAATATATGCAGATGACATCTGCATCTGGGCTTCAGGCGTAACACGCCTTCATTTGCGTGCCCGGCTTCAGATAGCGGCTACAATAGCGACAAAGTGCCTGGAAGAACGGGGACTAGAGCTGTCATCAGAGAAATGCTCGCTTATAGCATTCACGCATAAGGCTATGAGCCCATATGTTATTAAAATCAACGGACACACGATCAACTACGTAAATACCCACCGATTCCTTGGAGTCATAGTTGATCGCGACCTCTCCTGGAGCCCTCACATCGCCCACATAAAAACTAAACTCAGCATGATCACCCACGTACTGATGTTTCTTGCTGGAAAAATGTGGGGTGCATCGGTACGAGCAATGCTTCAACTCTACACTGTTCTGTTCCTCGGTTATATGCGATACAGCTTACCCGTGCTTTGCGGGATCCGAAGAACAAACTTGCGCGTCCTCCAGTCGATCCAAGCCCAAGCCCTGAGAATATGCCTTGGTCTTCCGAGATGCGCGTCTACAGTACCGACAGTCATCATTGCGCCTGATTATCCAGTCAACGCATACGTCCGCGTAGATGCTTTGAGAATGCACATAAGACATTTCGCTCGGCTTCCATCTCATCACCTCGCCTCACTTCGAACTTCCAGGCCCCAGTCAGCGTTGAGCGCAACTGTAGCTCAGCATTGCGCAGTGCTTCCATTGCACTTCACGCACGCAGCACAGCCGCCGATACCATTATGGTGCCTACACCCACTCAAAGCCCTTCTTACAATTCCTGGCATCCAAAATAAGAAAAAGTCGTCGCATCTAGCCCTGAAATATGCCACATTACTTTTACTGCAAGAGAAGCACAACGGACGCCTTCACATTTACACGGATGGCTCGGTGTCTCCAGTAAGCTCTGCAGGGGCGGTGGTTATTCCCGCGAGGCACATCACAATCAAATTCAAGACAGCTGCAGAATTTGCAGCCATTCGTGCAGCTCTGGATTTTATAGTGAAAGAACCTTCGGGAATTTGGTCGATCTTCTCGGACTCGAAGGCATCTCTTCAATGTCTTATATCACCCTTTCGTCGTGGAGCTAATGAACAGTTTGTAGCTGAAATAAGGCTTCTTCGTCACCAAGCAACCGAAAAACAGCACAGCATAGTGTATCAGTGGATACCAGGTCATTGCGGTATATATGGCAATGACTGCGCAGATGAGGCCGCTAGATCTGCACACGATGGTACCCGATACACAGCCATTCCGTTCTCAAGAACCGTCGCAGCTACAAGACTTCGTTCGCTTGCACGCGACCTCACACTGGTACAGTGGAACTCAACAGACTTCACAAACGCGCGCCTGCATAACTTGGATCCCGATCTGCAGCTTCATCTTCCCCCAAGGATATCTCAAGCTGAGGAGACTCTTCTATGCCGCCTGTGGCTTGGAGTGGCCTTCGCGAACGCATACTCTTATCTCATTGGGATGGCCATCTCTCCTACATGCACTTACTGCAGTTGCGAAGAAACCATCGCGCACCTTCTGTGCGAGTGCACCCATTTCAACGCGCAAAGACAATTACTCACTGCAGCTCTGGATAGACTAGACGATTGGCCTTTGTCGGAACAAAGGATTCTGGGTCGTTGGCCGAGCGCATCGTCTGCCCAGAAGGCTTTAGAAGCTTTGCTGCGTTTTTTGCGGACAACTGGCCTCAGAGACAGACTTTAGTGTCTTGTACTCTTTGATGTTGCCTTTCCTCTGTCGCAATTTTTTTTGTAATTTCTCCCTCTCTTCGCAACATTTCTTTTTAACATCTTTCATTCCCCTCACCCCTTTCTCCAGCACAGGGTAGCCAGCCGGTCTAAGAACTGGCTAACCTCCCTGTCTTTCCGCTTAAACTTTCTTCCTGTTATTGGTGCTTGACAATGACCAGATGACGAATGAGTGGTAGACAAATGAATAGAGGAGCGGAAATGCGTGGCCACATCATTAAGATATCATCTGAAAGTCAGCGCCACGCCTGGAGAATGAAAGCCCTTTTTCGAGTTCCAATAAACCTCAAGGAATGAAAACAGGCCTCTGACACCTCCAGTTTGACGACAGGTTGCGAAGCGAGGGGATTCTGCGCACTTTCACTTATCCAAACGTAATATATAGTTTGCCTTTGCTTCTAAGACACGTCAGGGTTTAGCGGAAGGGCGACATCTGGTGAAGGCACTCTCCTAGGAGTATTGATCGAATCTTTGTGCTAGGGCCACTCCCCTCACACGAACAATTTCTTCACAGCTCTTGGAAATTGTTTACCTCTACCGTATTGTATCTCTTTATTTATATCATGCGCTTTGTTTTTGAGCTTTTGTGTGCAGCCATGCCTTTAACAACATGTTTGGTCTCGACAGGCGTGGGAAACAAATTGAAGAATACATATAGAAAAACATGAACAAAATTATCCTTGTTCTTCATTTTTGTAAATGCGGTACTCAGAGTGTCGTTCTCTTACTTATTTCCGGAAATCCTTGTTATTTACAAGGTATAAGGCTGTGATAAAATTACTTTTGCTGCTCCTTTGAGTTATCAAATTGCGTCGCGCTATTGAACTATTCCACAAAAGCAGCCAGGCGTACAAAAGCAGTCTCGCTTTCTGGTGCATCAGATTTGAATGTGTATATGATGTATGCTTTTAATATGTAGCATATGTGAAAGGGCCGGAGTCTGGCACGCCATCAATATACATTTACATGTCTGCCATTACGGTAGTTAAAAGTGTACACGTTCTAGAACAAGTAAGAATTGCCTTGTATTTCCAAGTGCCTTCTTGTTGTGCCACTACAAATTTCCTTCTCTATTTACTATCTCAAACATTTGAACATATCTCCGTCTCTTTTTGAATGCGTATGATTAAGGCTTCTGTTAAGCATATATAACCAAACGAAAACAAGTTTTTGATCGCGTTTTAACCACCAAGGTCTTTTATTCTGCGGCTCTATTGTTTCTTTTTATTCGGTTATTCTGAAAACCACAAGTGGTAACATTGGGTAACCCAAAGGCGTTTCCGCTTCTCTGCCGTGTAATAGTTTCTTCGATCTGTTTCTTAAGCACCACGTCTACTCTTTCAGAACGGCAAACGATAAACCACCACATTGACTCTTCAATGGCACTGGAAAGTAGGAGAATAATTCACTCCGTTGGCCCACGTGTGCAAACACTACCGCGAATTTTCTAGAATTTTAACTCTGCTGACTGAAAACTGAGGTGCTCTAAAAAATTAGGAGGCCACTACCTTTTAGAGTAAGAGCTCGTTTGAAAAAAAAACACATCACCTTTACGTTTCTGAGCAATTGAAAAACCCAAACGTAGAACAATGACATATGCTTGGGTGTCTGGCAAGTGGAACGGAAGGGTTTCAAAACTGCTCAAGTGAATGGTGAACAAGAAGCGCGGGGATATTAGGAAAGGGGGCAGGCGGGATTTGGTTGCTTTGAAATCATCGGAAAATTGAGCCAAAAGAAACATTGACAAAAAGCGCACCACACCTTCACAGTGCAAACTGTCGAAAAAGTTTAATTGAAAGAAAAAACACAAACTGGGGCAAAGAGTCGCGGGGTTAACATTTCAAAATCATCGAACAAGGTTGTCTTCAGCGCTAAGAAAAAGAATTTTAGTAGCATGCAACATGCCGGATGGCCTCATTATGTATGTCCGATCAGGTCTGTTAATAACGAAAAAACTCGGCAGATCTCACGTACCTGAATTAAACGTTTTGCGAAGAATGTGGAGGAAAGGTGACCGGGTTGGAATTTTTTTATTAAGCGACACGTCATGAAATGACGCTAAGTATATGTACATATGTTGCACGCACAGACATATGTTGAAGACTAGCAGATGTGTAAGTAACCAATAGTTTACACTTGCGCAACAAGATCAACTGCAACATGCGTAATAACAACACCAGAAGTGGATATGAAGCGCTGATGCTCACGAAGATGCTGGCCCTGGACAATGCTACATAAATCGACTTCAGCGCATTGCAGCTAACCGCAATTGACGTTATCCCGACGTGAAGGCTGTCAATGGTGTACATATATGAGGTGGCAGTAAAATTGGGTAGGCAGCACTGCAACCACTATTGACGTTGCAAAAAAATAAGCGTCTATTTGAACAGTAGTTCTGAGACCTGGCGTAGATATGTGAAAGAATGCTTGACTGCCACCCAGAATGCTTAGGTTCGATTTCTGCTTTGAACCTGAAATTCACTATTTGCAATTGTCGGGTGGGGGGGGGGGGGGGGGGTCAAGGCTGCCTATGCCAGGTTTTTCTTAACACTGGCATTTATTCTATGCTATTGTTGGGTCAACGCTACCAATTTCTGGTATTGCTTAACGCTCACGCGTTAATAGTGCCCATATTTATTCTCGTCGTTCCTGGGTAGATACTAAGAACTGTATATCACCCTCGTCACATACCCGCATGGCAGCGGCACATACCCGCCCGTTTGTATGCGCCACTGGCTGGTGGGAAGTGTTTGACGACGTACGCGACGGGATTGTAACATTATTCATGTCTCGACCAGCGCGTCATATTCGTCAAATCATCGTACCTTCCCATGGTAATTTCGGCTCACGCCCACTTAAGGGGGTGACCACGAGAGCACCGAACATAAGCGGCTAAATAGATACACTCAAAGGAGAGAAAATTCACTAAGATATGCTTCGCACCTAAAAACTAATAAAAGACATCTTTGATCCTTCGTGCAACCTTCCGTTTCTTTTTTCAAGTTTGAGCGTTTGACAGCGCTAGCGTCTGACAGTAAAGACATGCAACTGTGCTCGCTGCGATGCAGTGAAAATTTTCTAACAATGTATTTTCATCCATAGCACCTGATTATCTGATAGCCCGTTATTTAATCAATTGGGAGTCTGTCTTGTGGGAAACCCCGACGCAGCAGTTTGCACAGTATATACAATACACATCCTCCCTTGCCATATGCAATGAACTTTTCGCGGCGTAGCCCACCCATTATCGCGCCAGCTATACCCCCGCAAGTGCTCATCCACAGCCACGAAAACCTGTCTAAGCTTGTCTGCACCCGACAGCGGCAGCTAATAAAGCTTTAGTGTATACATTATAGTCTCAGATTTTAGTGTTCTTTTCCCGCAATATGCAGTCGGATTGAGACTAGGCTTGGTGTTTTTCCTGCGGCTGAATCTTTTGAGTTAATGTGAAAGGCTATGGCACCCATGAACTTACATTTAGGCGCACGTTA